AAGCTATCACAAAATCAACATAGTACCCAGACATCATTCAGTTTCCCCGCCCTCTCGCGACAACAATTGTTCAACACCAATGCCTCTACAAAGAGGTCGAAGCCGTGTTCGATCGATAACACCTCTACGATCAAATAAACGAAGCAATCGCAGATCTAGGTCCTGGTCCCAGTCACACGATAGAAGCCATAAACGTTCACGTCATCGTTCTAAATCTCCTGAAAAAAGAAATTCGGGTAAGTTGAAAGCTATTTTTTTTTTTTTATAAAGTTTTTGATAAAGTTTTTTTATATCGATATGTCTAACAATACTTTGAATAGAGATCGATTTTTTAAAACAAGCGTTGAATACCTTAATAAGTGAAGTTAAGGATCTTAAGGAAAAAACTTCAACTCCAGGAACTCCAGCAACTCCAGCAACTCCAGTAACTCCAGCAACTCCAGCTATACACTCTGACAAAAGTTATGCTCGTTCTGACGATGATTGTGACAACTATGTAATCAGCGACACAGAAGATTCTGCTGGCACTACTGGACTTTCTTGTCCATTCAACAATATTGGTCTTAACGAACTTATTGACCTTGATGCATCTCAAGTCACAAAATCTGACTCCAACAAACAAAGCAAGAGTCAGAAACAATCGAGCACCACTAATAATACTCAAAATAGAAACATTGGAAAGAACCAACAAAAGCAACAAAATGATGGTAAAACAAATAATAATAATTGACGAAAACCATCGTTAAGCCCGGAACCACCCTCCAGGTATAATCAAAGGAAGCAACGAGTAATGTTGGAAGATATGGACGAAGAACAGTATAAACTGTTTCATGTATGTTATATTATAATTTATAAGTATAAAAAAGCTGTCATTTTATTGATTGTTTAAATGAATATAGGATGAGGTAATTCAAATATTAAACGGCCTTGACGATACTTTTAATCTCGACGAAACAAATAAATAGTTGGAAATATCACGGCACGTAAACAAAAAAATCATACCAACTATTGGTAAAGCTTTGGACGGTCGGTTTAGATATAATTTAGGTGAGATAAAGTACGTCCTTCAAAGCCTTCACCGGCATCGATGCGAAAAATGGCAAATCGAACAAGATCCGAAGAAGGCAAAGTTTGACAAAAAATGCAAAGGAATAAATACACGTCGTGGCGAAGTAAGTTTTTTTTTTTATACAATATAACTATCGTATTACCGGTATTGCTTGAAGAATTTTGATTAGTTGATTAGGTTAAAAAATCATGTGCTCCGAAATAACCGTTTGACGTGTCTAATTTATAGAAAATAAGGCGACGTGTCCGAGGGTTTAATCATTTGATTAATACCCGCGATAAAAATCTCGCAGAACTTTCTCCTTCTATTAGTTGGGACGATTTAAAAAATGACATCGAAGAAATAATTAATGAAAAAGGCTTCCACTCGGATGAAGTCTCGGAAACGGATATAGAAAGAACGGAATCTGAACAATGATTAAAAATTCGTCCGGAATACAAAAAAAAAGACGATTTTCATATAATTCGTGTTTACGACAAGAAATGGAGGTCTCGAAGGGTAAGTAATTATTATTATAATTGTGATTTATTAAAATTTTATAATATTTATTTTTTTTTATAATAAACAGATTAAAAAAATTTTTTGACTTGCCGATGAAATGGGGGAAAAAATTTCTCACGTTAAGTGCTCAAGAAAATAATAGTATAATGATACAATGTGGGCGGATAGATCAAAACCACCCGAGGACGCTCCGGTTTGGTCTATTTCAACTTCTTATGTTTCCAATAAAGCGAGTGATGATGAAGAGGAAGAGGAAGTTGACGAAATCACAGACAGAAGAAGCAATAGTAATAGAAGTGGAGGTTGTAATGGAAGTGAAAGAGGTGGTAGTAACAGTGGTGGTGGTGGAAATAGCAGAGGTAATGGAAATAGAAATGGCAGTGGAAATAGAAGTGGAGGTGGCGGTGAAAATAGAAGTGGCAGTGAAAATGGAAGTGGCGGTGAAAATGGTAGTGGCGGTGAAAATGGTAGTGATAATAGCAAAAAACAAAACGAAGGTGCCGTTACCATAGATGAAGAAGATCTTTGAAAAAATCTTTGTATTTTTTTTTAGCTATAGTAATATGTAATAGCATCAAAGTTATATTTCAATTAAAATAAATATATTAACATACAATTGCTTCTATAAAACAAATATTATAACATTTATATAAGTATATAAATATATTAAAAACAAAAATATAGCCCTGTCGGACATAATGATAGGTATATTATTTAATCCCGAAGAGTATCCGGTTTTCTTGCAATTCAGAGTGAAATAAGATACCAGTCGGGTTTATGAAAAGGCCTACCAGCATTACGATATTAGTATTAAAAGTTTACGACTAGTCACTGATTTTAAACAGATATTTGGTGGAAATAAGATACCAATCAGGGATATTTAGGTTGAAAATCAAACAAACAGTAGGCCTTTATAGAATCGATAAGTATCTTAAATACATCCGGAGTATAACCGATGTTTTTGCAATTTCGAGTAAAATAAGATACCAATTAGTATATCAATAGGCCTACCGAAAAATCGATAATATAATTTTTGTATTCCTAAATATTCTCGACTTGTCAATGATTTCAACAAATATTTGGCAGAAATAAGATACCAATTGGGAATATTTAAGTACAAATTAAGTAAATTATAGAGACACCGGTAGGCCTTTATGTTAAATTGATAGTTATATTAATAACACCCGATAGGTATCCAGTTTTCTTGCAATTTTGATCAAAATAAGATACCTATCAGTTTAATCTATAGGCCTACTAGTTGTTCGACTTAGGTCCTAAATATTCCCGATTGGTATCTTATTTTCGCCAAATATCTGTTTGAAATCAGTGACTAGTCGGTGATATTTAGGCTTCGCCTGTCATTAAACACCCATACGCATATCGTTTAGATATAGGAGACCTATCGGTTACCCGATTGTTATCTGGTATGGTTTTGTTCGACCTGTGGTACTAAGCCTATGACCATGGTTATAACTAGGGCTAATAAATAAGAAACAAAGTTAGGTTGGTAAATGCTTTTACAACTTCTTTTCTGATTAAATTAAAATAGATAATTGGAAAGTATTAATTACCTATTGCTATCCTTATTTTTGGAAGATATACCATGGCTACGACCAGGACTAGAAAATAAGAAAGTTAATTAAGTCTTTTAAGTATATGTTTTTTTTTTAACTAATTTAATTTACCTATTGCTATTACTATTTTCAGGAGACATATTAAGGTTAAGACCACTGTTACAAGGGCTAATAAATAAGAAACAAAGTTAGGTTAGTAAATGTCTTTACAATTTTTTTTCAGACTAAATTTACAGCAATAGATAAATAATCTGAAAAGTACTAATTAGCCATTGCTATAATCAGGAGACATACCATAGCTAGAAATAAGAAATAAAATCAGGTCAGATTAATTGCCTTTATATTTTTTTCCCTTAGACTAAATGAGTACCTAGAGTGAAAACCTGAAAACAAATCTTTAAGTTTATCACTGTAGTGGACTTAGTATTATTATATTATACTACTATGCTAAGTCCGCTACAGTGATAAACTTAAAGATTTGTTTTTAGGTTTTCACTCTGCAGCACTCAAATTAGTGTGAAAAATCTAGATAACCTATTGTCAGAAAGAGCCATTATCACAAACACACTAGAAAAATAATTAATAAATAAGGTCAACAGCTTTATTACACTGTATTTTATTTTAATTAAATGAATAATTTGGAAAATACTACAGTAATTACCTATTACTATTACTGGGAGAAATGTTATGGTTATGACTCGAAGAAATAAAATAGTAATAGGCACAAGGAAATAAGAAATAAAGTTTAGATTAGCCTTTTTGTATTAGTCTAAATACAGTAAAATGATCTGAAGGGTATAAATTAAGTTATGCAGCCTATTATAATAATAATCATAAGAAATACTATACCTATGACTAGTATTGCTAATATCTATATTATATGTTTCACTGTTACTCATATCTATACCGTCTATTTCACTATCACTATATCTACATTCACTAGGTTCACTATGCTCACTAGGTTCAGGACTACAACTACGAATGCATCCACAACCACAACCACATTCATGACCATGACTACAGCCACATCCACAATTAGAATCTTCATTGTCTGTTACAATATTCTTTTTGTAGGTTCATAGTTATAATTAAAAAGTTCTCATTAAAATTTTTTTTTAATAAATAATTTCTTTTTTTTTTAAAAAAAAAAATTAGGTTAAATAACTTACACAGTTATCAGTTTGACTCCTTTCTTCATTATCACTATCTGCTATACCATGAGAAGTCGCATTATTGATTAGTAATAAGACTCTCCTGTCTTCAACCTGAAATTTATAGTCTAGATCCTTTAACCATTCTTCAAAAATATCTTGTTTCATCCATGCACTTGCATTATTTTTATAGGTTACAGGTAATGCAAAACAATTCTTAACCTTTTTAAAGCAACGTGGTTTATTAGATTTACTAATAACAAGAGGTTTGAGTTTTTCACTACTGGTAGAATTTGTTGTTAACATTATTGTCAGTCGACTTTTATCCTAAAAATTAATGAGATATATCAGTAGTTATTTATTGGATTAGATATGAGCGCTGTATAGAGAAAACCAGAAAGTGAATATTTAAATTATCACTATAGCTTTTGCTACAGTGATAACTTAAATATTCACTTCCTGGTTTTCCCTCGCTCATATTATCTTTTTTTTTCTAGATACGGGGCTGGATAATAAAGTTTAATTGGATTCCATTCTATAGAATAAACCTGTCTCATTAGCATTGAATACATTTTTGGGTCGGTACCTTGTAATTAGAGTTCTTAATTCATTTTGCATGTCTAGTAATAATTTAATTGGTGCAGTATTGGCTTCTTCATGAATTTTATGCACCTTTAAATTATTTCTTTGCTTAAATCCACTTAACTATCCATTAGAAAACTTCATATCTTTAACAGAAATATTCATAACCATCGCATAATAACGAGCTTTTTCGCATAATAAATTTTCTGAAATTGATAAACCAGATGCTATCGCTTGATTAACCCAAATATTAAGAGCTTTTTCTAAATCTGGATGCTTAACTCTACTCTTATAAAAAGTATTATTAATAGTCTCATTAACTGTAAAATCCATTTATTTTTCTTTATCAGATAAAATTTTTGATATTGTCGACCTATCTAAATTTAATTGATATTTGGAATTAAACTCATCTTTAATCTCATTTTGTGTTTTATTTGGATTTCTTTGTTTAAACAAACAGATTTCTTTTTTTAGCGCATAAGAAATAGCTATTCTTTTTTGCTTTTCTTTAGTGTTAGGTTTCATAGTATAACTTTAATATTTCAATTTTAGATGATCTACTAACTTTTATCGTTATATACATAATGATAAGATTAGACATGCATATATGTGCTACAAGAGAAACCAGATACGTATTGATTATTTGTTATCACTACTGCACTACTGGTATATCGATATTCGCTACAGTGATAACTTAAATAATCAATTCTTGGTTTTCTCTTTGCAATACTTAATTTTAAAGCTATTTAAAGAATTTAATACTGTAATTAAAAGAAAGTTTAAAATTTAACCATTATTATAAATAGTTAAAGTATTGATTTTTTTTAAAAAATATTAATTTGCCTAGCCACTACCTATATTATTTGTGATTATAATCAGGGAAAATTATATATACTTATTATTATATAGTTCTTAAAAAATCATGTGATAGTGATTATCATATTAATGTAATTATAAATAGGGAAATTAAATTAAAAAAAAATGGGTCTAAAAATTTTTGTGACTTTATTAAAGTTGTGATTATAGCTAGAGTGACTATAGCCAAGGTTGACTGTAATAAGAAAAGGGATATTCTGATTAATCCAAAAAATAAATTTAAACCAGGAATTCCATTTGGTTTTAACAGATAAAGGTGGCAGAGTTATCAAAATAGTATTTTCATCTTAATTATCATTATCATTATTAGATAAGTCTAAATTTAAATCAAAACAAGGTGGAAGTGATGGTGTAACAACAGCATTAGAAGAAAGATGACTAATCCATCTGTGTTTACAGGCTGAACAATGAATAAAAGAAGCTTTAATAAGTGAAACAATATTATCTACTAATTTAAATTAGTACTAATCTATCCATGTTCTGCCAACTAAATTATAAACATGCGCCAAGCATGTATTATGATATAATTTTAAAAAAAATGGTTTTAATATTTGAAATGATTTTAACATATAGGCTGCATTATCAGAAATATAAAATCTAATATTTTCGTATGGAATATTATATGATTGGATTGTTGACATAATGAGTTGTGAAATAGTCATACTGTCAACTTTTTTTAGATGTTTTGTTGCGACTAATTTTGTTTTATTTTTAAAACTAAAAAGAATATTAATAGCTACTCTACTACAAGCATCTGTTGTTTCATCTACAATAATGCAAATTTGTTGATTTACTAAAGTTTCTTTTAGTTTATTTAATTCTAATCCGTATAGCATTGGTAAATATTTTTCTCTAAGCTGGTTAGAACCAGCAATAGAACCACCTAAAAAATTAATAAATAAATTAATTTTTTTTTTTTTTTTTTTTTTTTTTTTAAGGTGAGGCCTTGCTCATATCTTTATTAGCAATTTATTTGAGTTATTATAATAAAAACCCGATTTGTATAGTACAAATAATATAAACTACATGCAAGAATGAGAGCTCAGACTAATTATCTATGACCTAAACCTACTAGAGTGGTCAAGACTCACCTGGATTTTATAGTTAGGATATAGTTTGTAGGAAGACTGTATTGAATCCACAGGGTGGACCATTGATTAAATTTGTATTGAGTCTGTCCTTTTGGTGGGCATTTAGTATTACTATCATCTATATGAAGTTGGTCTGGTAGTCCACACAAGCAGTTGTATGTAAATTCTCTGCGTTGTTGCCTGGTTCTGTAATTGGGCTGTATTTGTACCTGCGTTATTGGGTTGTATATTGGGATTTTATTTAGTTTCTTCCAGATTGCAAACTTTTCACAATAGGGTATCCAGATTTGCTCATAGATCTTATTAGAGATATTTAATAGTATCGATACAAGGACAGTGGCTGCTTCCTTGTATTGTATGTTCTCTGCTAGCATGGCTTGTATAAGATTAGCTGAGATGAATCCTTTTAAGGTTATTAATAGTGAATACCTTTGTGTAGTTGATGAGTTAGGGTATTTGAATAAAGGGTGAGATTTAATAAGGCTTATAATTGCCTTTTGTTGTATCGGAGTTAGATCTGGTAGATCTTTGTATACTATTTCTGTGATCGAGGTGTGTATGATACTGATAAGCACTTAGGGGCTAGAGTATGTAAGCCAGTGCATTGGTGAGTCTGGGGTGCCGCATGAGAAGCAGTTAGAGGCTTGGTATATTCTAGGCATTATGTAGTGGAAGTGCGAGTATGTAGGCAAATCACCTAACATATTTTTAACTCTGAATGCTTTTATTTGGTTCAGCTTGGGAGATATAATACTAGATGTTACTTTTTGGTTGTTGTTGATATATAGCCATGTGGAGTTCCAGTCAAAGTCTTGGATATATTCTTCCCATTTAGCGTTACGTTTTTGTGAAGACCACATTGCAGTAGTTCTAGCTCTACAAATGTTTTTAACAAATTGTCTAGTAGGTTTTTTGATATAGTGCTCTTTCCACAGGATAACTGTGTTTGGGTTGTATATACTAGTATGGTTGAACTGGAGTGTGTATATTGGGGAATGTTGATATTTTTTGGCTAGTAAGTCTGCAGTATTATTGAATAGATCATTTGCATATGCTTGTACTTTGTAAAAGGTGAGTTGTATGTTAAAGGCCCTGATAGCATTGAGAAGTGAATGCCAAATTGGCTAGTATTTGAATTTGAAGTACTTTGAAGACTTTGTTGCAGTGTTCTATAATTTGGTATATTTGGCAATAACTGACTGTGAGTCTGTAAATATGTTGACCATAGAGTTGCGAGGTACTATAGAGACAGCTGACAGGATGGCTATCAGCTCTGCTTTATATGAGGATGGCCAGTTTGCAATTTTGGCTGTGAATTGATTAGTGATTTGGTTGTTGTGTACTTGTACCCAACCTATTCCCATAGAGCAGTTGGTAGTACCTATTTCTGCTACTGATCCATCTGTATAGAAGGTAAATGTTTGTATATTTGAATTGTTTAATGTATTTTGGGTTAGTACTTGGCATGCTTCATTATTATAAAAGAGAACGGGGGCGAGAGAATCTATAATATTAATATTGGGTAGGGGTGGAAGTGTAATGGGGTGTTTAATTGCTGTGGAGTACAGAAGGTCGATATAATTGGCATTGAGTTTGAGTTGTTTGTTAGCTGTTTTTCTACCCAGGAACTGTGTGGATAGGATTGTAGAAACTTCCATAGTACAGTAGTTAGCTAGCCGGTTTGAATTAAGCCTACAACCTGGGCATGATAAACATATAATTGGTGGAAGAGAGTAAGGCAAGTAGTGATTTGTATTAATATCATGTTGCCAGTGTGTAATAGATTCCATATTGGATTGTGGAAACTTTTTCCTTATTTGTCCAATAATAATTTCCTCTTGTTGATATGTAAGGATCCATGGTTTTAGTTTTTTGGAGATACTGTTAGGTTAATATGCAAAGGAGTTAGTGCCTGGTGGTCGAAACCATGGTAGTAGAGTTCTATATGTGGGGTTATCTAATATTAGCTCTTCAAGCTGAGTAAACCACCCAGGTCTTTTCTCTTTAGGTAGATGTAAGAGTCTGGGTGAGATATGTTGCTATTCCAGTAGGTGCTTGTTATCTGCTGAGCATAGCTGTTCTAAGTAGAGGATATGTTTGTGTCAGAGCTGCTGTTTGAATACTTTGTATTTGATATTTGTATTTAGTATTGGCTCTAGTGGTGTGTTGCTGTCTTGAATTA